ATAAACTAACGGTAGGACCAGAAAATTTAAGGGTATAGACCGCGCGAAATGCGCAACACCATGGATCCCGTTTGTGTGACGTAGAAGAAAAGTGAGTCGATGCTCTTATCGAGGATTGACGAACTATGAAATATAGAATCGATCACTGTGAGGATCGAGTGATGTGTGAATCAAATAAGTCGATGCAAGTGAATAAAATGAGTCATATCGATCGTATGAATCCAGTGGGATCGAGTGAATCATATATGTATGGTGTGTATGAATCATAGATATGTATCATATGTATGTGTCGTAGATATGAGTCATGCGCACGGTCTGATATCCTACAGACAGCAAGTTTGGCACATCTATTGGCTACGGTGCACTGCACTGCACTTCACTATGTTTAGTGCGCGGTAGCCAGTAACTTTGAAGAATTCTTACAGTCCTGGACTTACCGAGCAGGAAACAAAAAGAAACTTTTTTAACTGGAATCACCCAATAAGAACCCACGAAATCATGCCCCCGAATGTTGGATTTCAAAAGGGGGATGCGCGCGGGTTCCTGAGGGCCCAGGTGAATCGCGGAACCACAGAATATTCGTTCTAGGAGATCTCCGATGAATTGCACGAAAACCTAAAACCACCAGAGTGGTGTTCCTGTTTTTTTGCGAGGTCGTTCCACGGTGCATCGAAGAGAACCTCTACAGCACGATTACTTTCCCTTCGTAAACTACAAACTAGTCTAATAGAATGCTGTACAGAGCATGTTAACTTTCATCGCAGAACAACTAACGATACTAACACTTCACTAGTGATCCAACTGTATCATGGCGATATTTAGGATCATCGTTGGACATTCCTGGATCGATGGATTCCTTCACTTCGAAGCGCAGTACGTTGATTCAGTGGAGGGAAATTACAATACTATGATTCCGATTTCGCAACTGAAAGACAAGGAGCCCCGGGCATGTGCCAAGTACATCAAGGAATACATTACCGAGTCGTCGCGCCGCAAGAGCCCACTGAACGACTGGGCGAACGATGTGCTGCGCCGGGGAGCTAATCTGTTGCAAGAGACAAGCACTCACGAAAGCGAAAACAAGACAAATAAAACCGAGACAACGAAAAACGCAGTGTCCACACGACACGGTCGGTTACCTGTGGCATGTTACAACAAAACTCATTGCGCCAAAAACTCTACAACAAAAAAAATATTATCGTCCTCATCGCGACGAAAAGCTTCCCAAAGAAAGCGCCGATTGCCAAAGGAGATCAAGAGGAGAGAAACTTCTATAGGTAGCAACAACACCATCACGGCCACCGGAATTTTCGACGCAAATAGTGAGAACGACAAGGTTCTGAGAGCGACTTTGGATGGCACAAACGGGGTCGAATTGCTTTCGAGAGTTATTAGTTTGCAGCAAGGTTTTGTGCCAGACTTCTGGATTTGATTAAGAACATAGATCCAATAGCACGATCATGCGCATAGTATTACGAGGGCGCAAGTAAGTAGAGAGTCAATTTGGCCTCAAACACTATCTCTGCAAATAGCCTTCAATTCTTCTTCTCGCAACGACGTTCCAATCTCCTTTTCGTTGTAGCATCTCTCTTTTTATAACATTAACACTGTCGAAATCACGACTGACCCATCCACGATGCTGTTTCCAGAAACGTCGGTTTTCAATGTACCATGTACTAGTAGTATTTCTGTAGATATTACACTGGCTCCTCTGCAACCACCTACTAGGACATACACAATGACCGATGACAAGAGACAACACCACGTTGCACATCATTAGGAGGGTCGTATGATGAAATCAAATCTTCATGTCGTTTGTTTGTTAATCTAATTATCTTTTTGGTACCATAGTGTGCTAACTTACTACAGTACTTTCTATATTGTGGATACCTATGACAGTCAGCTTTTCAAGAGTCTAGTACCGTATCGTAGGGCAACTACGAGAAGAAGTACGGTAGTAATAGTACAGATATTGCATTTTGCCACACGCTACGTACTAGCGAGAAATTGATTGTACCTAACGCACGATATTGTTTTACTCTACGAACAATTATGCCAAGTTGTCAGTGGGATGCTTCGTTAGGTGCCACGAGAATATTGAAATACGGGTTTTTCTCATGAAGGAAGTGGTTGACAATCGGATGAAGTTTCCTACTCGCCCCTTTTTTGAAACGAAAGGTCATAAATCTATTGACAGTAATAACAATTAGCATGATGATAAAAATGGAGACTCTCGATGACGCTATCGGGAGCGCGATGAAAGGCCTAAATCATAGTGAAAAATAAACTCCAACCGTTGGTAAATCTTTCAATACCATCGGCACGATCTGTATGTTCCGAGGATCAAATACAGTAATAATTATTCCAGACCAAATGTTATTTACTGTATGCGGCATAGATGAATACACAAAAATTAGGACCAGTTGGTGAAAGGCATTTTGAAAAAAATTCATACAGTATTGTTCTATTAAGTGTTCAACACTGCCAAGATTGAGGTCACATCGTTGCTACTGTCCTCCGTTAGAAACGTTAAAGACATAAATTTTAAATGTCTTGATAAAATAAATTCTGATTTATCTAGGAGACATGTTTTATCATTTGATCCAATTTGAAAACAAGGAAACTTCCTCAATGGTAGAAAACTTGATAGAAGTTTCTTCATTCTCGACGTTCATAACATTCCGACGTAATCTTTCACCATCCCAAGCTGTCCTTTGCCGAAGACAATGATTAATCTAGCAATTCACTACAACAATTTGGGAGTTGATACTCTATGCGGCAGATGCAATCCAAACAACACCAGTGGCGGAAACGGTGATAAATATAGGCAAGCTTCAAACGAATACGAGCTTCAGCCACGACACTGTCCTGGAAGCAATATCGATGTGCGGGATGAGCAATCGGGAGAACCCGTTAGAAAACGCCGCAAATGTATGATCGATGTCGAGTTTCAAGCTAAACGCACTATCAATGGGGAAGAGAAGACTATTCACCAAATAGATAGTGCTCTTGCGCTCTTTCAAAAAGCCCTAGCATTCATCGTCCAGAACACCGAATTGGCTTATCTTCAAAACGGATTGAAGTATCACCCCAACGACGACGAAGGCTTTTTACGCTACGAAAATGAAAATGTACGGAGACAAATCATTTCGAGCACAAATCCGTGCGATACAGGAATTTCCCTTAAGGGAGAGTCGAGTTGCAGCAAGCAATACATTTATTGGAAGGCCATAAAAATCGGGAACGAAGACATCATCGATTTGAAATACACGAACCAGCAGCGTTGTCAGAAAGGACACCATAGTTGCGGGAATAATCACAATCGTGGCCGACAAGAGCCTAGACCTCAAGGTGAATACGAGGCTCTCACGAAATCAATATATCATTCTATGATTTGCATCTTCAATATTGGTCTATGCTACCAATACAAAGGTATGACCGCCAAGGCCGAGCAGATGAAACTCATGGCGAATTATGCGAATCCCTTTGCCTTTGGCTTCAACAATAATTACTACGATTTCTTGAATGCATCCATCGACCACTACACACAAGCCTACGAGCTTATGACTCGATTCCGATTGGAAGACACCTCACAGTACACCTTTTTGATGGCCATGATGAACAATTTGGCTGCCACCTACGGATCTCTTGGACAGACTTCCAAGGTCAACATCTGTAATCGATGTTTGGTCCAGTCGTTGATTTTGGTCATTTGCTCAAGTGAGCGTGACGGACATTTGGGACAGGAAGTCTTGTCTCGAACCGAGACCAAATCTGTACTACGGAAGGAGGAAGATCGAACGACATTTGAATCTTTCCTTTCGAATGTCATGTATCTTATGCTGGGCGACGGACCTAACGGCGACCAGCGGTATAGCGGCAATACTGTAGCGGAGGCCGCATAGACGACCTATCAAAGAGGCATAGCCGATAGATGGTAATGGTTCGCCTTGACGCCAATCATGAGCATTTATCTGACTTTTTTGCAATTAGTTTCTCATAATTTATAACATAAAATCGAATTGAATTAGAAAAATCAGTTCCTTTTTGTTGGCAATCAATATTTTCTTGATGTAGCTTCGTAACAAAAAGGAATAGGCTTGTATTTGATTTTGAAGGAACGCTTCTAAAACAGAAGGATTTCTATTTTGCCATTACTGCATTTACAATCCGTACTCATTTCTATGTCGAATTGGATTTGTTAGAAGAGCAAGTTGCCGAATCGTATTTGGTCGTCATTGTATCCCATGTTTTTCCCCTGTACAACCCACCTAAAAGTCAATTATTTAGAAGACAGAGAACCTGTTTACATTTACGAGTTTATTTGACCCTGCCAAAACTCCCGAAAATCTTTATGCAGTACGTAGGATCTCCTTCCAAATAGAAAAAAATATATTTCACAGTCTCGACGTATCTCCTCTATTCTTGTTCCCATTGTAAAACCCCCCGGATTCAATTACCACGAATTCTATCGTATTTCAATCAAATATTTCTATTCCTTGTTCACTTCTACTCTTTGTTACATTCGAATGGCATAACCAACACCTAAAACCGTTCCCAAGAACATTGCTGCTGGAAGGGTTTGGGGGGTGATCCTTCCTCTGGATTGGAGAAGAGAACCAATTCCACCAATCATGGATCCACAGGCAAATCCCGAAAGTGCACCCTGTATTTTTCGGGACCAATCAATTGGCTCATTCGGCTGTGTTGGGTATCGTCTCATATCGACTGCGATGAAATATTGGTGATGAAATATAGAACTTATGCTGTTCAATTGAATAACGCGAGGGTGGCAATGCTTCTTTAGGGGCAGAAGAAGCTCCATCGGAAACAATGAACAAACGATGCCAGAATAGATCAACAGCACCTCGGTACCGATACAGGATGAAAGAGCAAACGAAACACTGAAATACCGAAATACCGGTACCGGTACGTACTTGTACTTCTGTCAACTTCTTGTCGTTTTCGTTCTGTTGATAGTTGCTCCCATATTTTCGAAGCGCTTTTTGGTATCCCTAACCTTAAAGGCTAAACTTATTTGATAGGCTCTTCTTGAATTCTATGCTGGTACCACTACGAAGTGTATTTTGTTTCAGACCATTATGATGGCTTTATTTTTTCAAACCAATCACCAAATTATCCACTATTAGATATTAGAAAGGAACTGCTGGTTCTGGAATGAAAAAAATTGTACTGTAGCTACTACTACTACCGTTAGTAGTACTGCTAATACTAGTAGTCCTAGAACCAATAGGGAGGACGAGGACGACAAAACGGGCTCCAGACCTAGCAGCACGACGATAAACAAGAACATATGCTGGTGTTGGAGCGCATGATTGCTCAAGAACAGACGAGGCATTAAACTCGTAGTTCCAGCACAAGTAATTGTTCCAGCCAGTTCTTTCTGAACCAGTGTCAATAATACCAGCAATATTAAGGAAGATTAAAAGGGTCAGAACATCACTTGTCGGGATGCGATGAAAACAAATGCAGCAGTATCTTAAGATACAAACCAGAGAGGAATCGGAACATATGTATTCGGTGATGGCGATGGTCGACACGCATCCGATGACCGAAACAAGTTTGAGGCCTATAAAACGCCAAAAAAATGCCAGAGGGTGCTGTGGTGTCTTAAAGAGTTACAATTTAGTGTTCGCCGCAGCTGCATCTGATCTTCTTTAAATCTTTTCGCCTTTGTTGCAATTCCCTTAATGAGATACTGTGAACTCCTCCGTGATTCGTTGACACGGCTACGGGAAGAAGCGATACCAAAAACTCCTCGAGAGGCAGTGAATCGATCATTTGCGATTAAAGTCTCGAGCATGAAATTCTCGTGCGCATTGATTTCTTATTGCAATGGCGCGAATTTGTGTGTGTGAGCGTGTGTGTTGGTGCATTATTCGGTTGTGTGTGTAAAGTTTCATTGCTTTGTTCAGTACCACGACCGAATGACATGAAAAAGGGAATGTAATCTATCTTCTTGTCTCGTCTCGTATGGTAATGGCAATACTTTCTTTTGAACCCTTGTCCTCGAACGGGACCGAACGCCGCTGTCTCTTTCTCGCAGCGCATACAGTGGGTTTCTTTCCTTGTGGTTGCTCATCCTGGTTTGATCAGATTGAATCAAATCGGCTCGGGCACAACTTCATATACTGGCAAGTTGCTTTTTATCTATCCTCTATCTTCATCAGTATCACATTGCACTACATCCCGAGCACAATGGCGGCACCACCGTCCAAGAGCAGGAGCACGAACTGCTGTAGAACCATTGCGAGGCCATCGATGATGGCCGGCAAAATATCTTCCAGCAAGACGGTCACCAGCTTAGCGATGGCCTCGGTTTGCTCGGTTCCGATCGCGGCTCCTCCCCCCCCCTGGGAAACAAGATACGAAATAGCCTGGGCGACAACCTTTAGGAAGCTGACCAGGAGCTTGGACACGGTGGCCGCAAAGCCAGACAGCTGCGCTGCCAGAACGTCGAGGTCGGCCTGTGCCACCCTCGCCTGGACCTCGCTGATTGGCTGGCCCGTTACCCCCTCGACGACGGCCCGGGGGATACTCACCACCATGGCCATGACCATCTGTGAGGTCTCGAGGACGGCCTGGGCCTGCTCCATCGGTGTCGTGCTGGTGCTTGCAGCCGCTCCGGAGAGCGGCTCCGAGAGGGGAACCAGAATGTCCCTGTAGAGCCCGGTGGAAATCCCCTCCATAAGATCGTCCATGGCACCGGGATGGTTTGTTTCCATCATGGTGGCGTCCAAAATGGATCGCGGGATAGAAGCAACGGTGGCTACTACCATCTCGACGAGCCCCGCAACGTCCCCTCCGCCCGAATAAGCATTACCAGGCAATCCAAAGCCCTGATTCGCCGATAGGGTGACGGCAGAGACCTTGCCACTGGTAGCAGCCATCCCTGGCTTGGCTGTGACCACTGCGGCCTTCACTGCCGCTCCAGTAGCCCCCACCGACTCTCTGGCAGTCACCGCAGTGGCCGCGAGGGCCTTGGCGGTTCCGGACGTAGCCCCTCCGATGGCCGAGGCGGCTGCGGAGGACGCCACTGAGGCGGTTTCGGCGATGGACGAAGCTCCCCCACCAATGGCAGAAGAGACGGCAGAGGAAGCCGCGTTGGTCGATTCGGCAATGGATGAGGCACCCTCGCCGAAGGCGGACGTCACTGCGGAGGAGGCCGCTCCCGCAGATTCCGCGATCGAGCTTTTCGCCGCGCTAGTCGATTCGGCCAGCGTCGAGAGGGCCTTCCCGATCCCCTGGTTGGCGTTGGTGACCAGAGAGCCGATAGAGTTCTGTAGGCCCCTCTGGGTTTCCGAAATTGCCGAGTTGGCGCTTGACGCCGTCTCCGAAAGCGAGTGGGCAGCTCCGGAGGCGGTCCCCGAAAGGGTCTCGCCGAGGCTGTTCACGACCGTCTCGGCATCGGACGGTATGGATTCCACGACGGCCTTGTTGGCGGCCTCAGCCATAGTGGAGGCCTTGTTTGCGACCTCCATTGCACTCTGAGAGAGAGCCTCCGGGCTCAACTGGCCATCATCTAGTTTTTGCTGTATCTGGAGTATGTTTTCCTGTTGCTTGGCGGTGGTCACCGCGGCGTTCGGCTGGGCCGTTTCCCTTCGGAAACTGCTCGTCACGGAGTGGGTCGAAGAGGAAAGACTCTCCTTAAAACTCCGGAAACTCCCCTCGAGCTTGTTAGAGAGTTCGCGCATGGTTTCTTCAGGATTGACGGAGTTTTGTGGTTCCTGTTGCGACGCTTTTCTCGCCGCGGCCCGGGCCACCTTTGCGGCAGGCTTTGGCTCCGCATCACCCAGATCAAAATCATCCATGTCCCATAGGTATTGAGGGACTGATTGAGACACCAACGTACTGGAGAGACCGTCAAGAACCGAGTCGTAAGTCTCTCCCCCAAAGGCGTTTAGCGCCGAAGAAAATTCCTGAGTCACTCGCTGCACGACCTCGTTTACGAGCATGTCATCAGAAAAGGGCGTCGATGCTGCTGACACCGACGGTTTCGAGGCTGCTTCTGTTGCGGCGTAGGCGGAATAGTTGTCATCGTAATTGTTGTTGCCGTAGTTGTTGTTCAGCTGTGCCGATACCGAAGACAGGGCGTCGAGGTACTTGGACGTAGCACCGAGAAGCCCGTCTTCTACCGTTGGGGAACGGTAGGAAATGCTCTCAAGGTACGCCGCAGAGGCCGACGTCGAGAAGAGCTCGGTGGGAATGCGTTGCTTGATGTGGAATGAAGGCTTTGGTACGGCAAAGGGCTGCACCAACGGAACCACCAGGGACGCCGCAACCAGTGCGCACCCCAGCAGAAACGTCGAAAGACCTAGTGTTTTTATGGATACGGTCGCCGTCATTTCGTTTGTTTGCAGAATATCGATTTGTTAGTTTTTCGGGTGTCTAGATTCCTCTGCCAATGCAGCTGCCAGGCGTGGCTAGATGTTGGGTTGGATATCTTTATAGTTGAGCGGGGCGGGGCGAGACAGCCCGGTAGCACGAAAAAAAAACGATTCGAAGGAGGTGTCAAACCATATGGCAAAACGGTGCGATTGATTGATTCTGCAGTAACACACCGCATGTTTTGGTAAGCGATGGAACAACACGAGGGCCCAGAATTTCCGTCTTCTCCTCTAGTTGAGCAAATCATCAAACTTCACATCGTTCTCTCAGCCCCCAGAGGTCCTGCCTGTAGCACATTTTGTTGAAATTGAAATAAGAAATGATCCAATCGGATTGCAAAGATGACCTTTTCTCCGGAGAGTGACGTCAAAACTTACGTGGTTGCTTGCTACAAAATAATGCGTTTTTCAGTCGTGAGTGACATCTAGTCAGTCGGGTCGAGGAGTACCTAATGTTAGTCGATTGAGTCGTCGGGTGAATCGATCGAACAACTAATGATCACAACAAGAAGTAAAGGACGTACCGTACGGTACAGTACAGTAACGTACAGTAATAATTATTGGTTGTCAGCGTCACTATCCTCACATCACCGTAACGTCGAAAGAAGAAAACAAAAGGTTGGGTTTATCGTTGTTTCGGCGCTAAAGCAGTTACGTGGTAACATTCGGAAGCCCCCCGCCCGACTTTTCGGCGGAGTCGCATATTGATAGGAGTCATGCGCGTCAAATTTTCCAACGACGATTACGCCTTTAGAAGACTGATGCGATTACACATGATAAGGTCCTATTGATATGCGTGCCCGCGCATGGATTATTTGCAACGGATAATACTGCGCGGCAACGGGCAAGGAAAGTGCGCGAACATTCCCTTGCTCGACCGATACTACTGAAGTTTGCGTTGGGTTTGGGTGTTGTGACACCGATACACCGTTAGGATGAACAGTATCTGCAGGATACATGTACCTTACGGTACGGTTTCTAAGTGAACGGTGCAGGAACCGTTTTTCGAAGAATTCCTCAATTTTTCGTCACGCCCCATTAACGGGACCATATTCAAACCAAATTTTTGTCTGCCCATCACAACTGGTGTTTGACCAAGACAAGCCTAGAAACGCACAATTCATCTCGAAAAGGAAATACTCAACAATACTTCTATCACTATGAGCCGTTGTTTTCCAGCCCGCAATTTGTTCGCACTCCTCGCACTCCTCGCCGCAACAGCATCGGCAGCTCCGAAAACCTGCACCCCGTCCTACTGCTGTTGCACAGGAGCATGCCCTGACTCCTTTGCCCCGCATTATGCGAGCTCGAGCACCATCAAGAACGATGTGAACGAAATTTGCTACGCGGCGACCGAAGCCGGGGCCTTTGGAATCGGAGGAGATAGCATCACGATCCACAGCACCGGCGCCGTGCTGTCGCCGAACGACCTTGACGAGTGCCCCGAGAACCCCCCCGAGGAAATGATTCCGTTGACCAACGTCGCCGCCGTCGAAGAACAGGTTTCTGGGGCCTCCACATCGTCTCCTCTAGTTGCCACACTCGTGGCCGGAGCCCTCGGATGGATTATGGCTTAGACAAGTCAATTTCCGATTTTATGTCAATAGATCGTGATTGTGTATTTCGACAGGGGGCAGTTTTGGCAGCGGGCAGGTATGGACGATGTGATTCGATTTCACAGGATTCGCATTTGATGGATTCGACGCATCTGTATTTTTTGTCTGTGCCTGCATCTGCGCCAACCCTGGGAGAGAAAGATGGCGGCGCCTGCGACTCGCACTGGAATAGAATTGGATTGAAGCAAGTTGGAGTAAATTGGATTGGTTCGGTGCGCTTCGCGCCCACTTGAGAGGCTGCGAGCTAAGTCATGCTATGCCGAGCTTTGACGCGCATCCGAACCGTTTATAAGATGAGATAAAACGAGTCGGTTTGGTTTTTTGGGATAGGGGAACGGAAAGGAGACGAAAGGAAACCATGTACATGTATAATTCATAGAGAAACAATAAACGTAATACAAATTTTATAATGAAATACTTCCATGCGCTAGGGTATTATGTAATTATATGTTGGACCAGAATATTCCTTCAGCGTCTTGTTGATTATGATCGTAACATCTCGGATGACGCTATTCCAGACTCGTATTCGATCTTACAGCGTGAAAGGATGAAGGACCGATCCTGACAGGTTGTCCTTCATAATCAATACCGTTGTTTTAAGACTATCTCATCTCAACAACAGTCCGCAGATCCAGCGGGCCAACGAAGAGTAGACTGTTCCGAATTCTACAGTAATGTCCTTAAGACGGAGAGGCGCGGAATATGTGTGATATAATAAAGTAAACGATTATGATGCGGCTACCCCCTATTCGGCTGCCGATGAAGTCACGCTCTCGATAACTTTGGATGGCATTAGGATGGGACCATTCTAGATTAATTTTATTTTGTCGCTAAGCTATTGGTAAGCTCTAGCTCTGCTGGGGGCCTTCGATTCGGCGAGATGTTGCATCACTGTCCATATGTAAGATTTGGGGTTGTCCATATGTAAGAGTGTCGCTTGCTCTTTATATCAGTTCGCCGTTAGGATTGGATGCATCGAAGTACAGAAAATATTTGGAAGCCGCTAATGCGGCATGCGGCGGTGGGGCCAAACCGAGGACACCGCGTGTGCGTGCTCCTGTGAATGCTTTTTCGGTCTTAGCAACACAATGTTGCTGCTCGGGGCCTCACACATAATGTTGTGTTGTCACATGCAGTTGGGTTTAACGGATGGAATGTGTGGGTTCGTCGTAAGGTTTTGCTTTGATCGCAATCTCTTCGTATCGCATATCATAGGGCTAGATGCGGCAAGCAACTTCAGAGTTTTTCTGCCGTGGACTGCAAGTCTTTTTCTTGACACTGTTGACATCGAGCCGACTACAAATGCCACACCGCCTGGTCCCGTGCACGTAGACATATAGCAAGAACCGAAACGGAAAACAACAACAGGTTTTATTCGCCAACGACTAACCACATGGAAAACGCAAACAAACGAACGAGCAAACAGATACCGCTTTGATTCTACGACTTGATGCAACCGGAAGATGGTACGGCCATGGATCCTTGAGTACTATTCTCTGTTGATTTGGTGCAAAAACCATGTTGGTCTGTCGGCACAAAGAAACAGCATTCAAAGAATCCACGGTCGTATCACAACATCGGATGACAACAATCGCAAAAATTGAAGGAAGCGGAAATCTCCGACTCGGATGGATGATTCAGATCACTATCGCTGACAAACAATCAGATACACACAAACGACGAACACAAAGACACGCGCACACACTCGGGAAGAGGATGCCAGTCTCATACAGTACCGTAGATTTTCCAATCAATCAAACCATCAAAGTCAACCTCTCGCATCGTATTCCATTTTCGAATAGGAGGGTTTCGGTTTTGTGAGAGAAGCGCAACCATCGCAGGGTGGAAGTTTGTTTGCGGTTGAAAAGGAATTCATCATGCAACGGAAAAAAGGACTAGTCATTCTGCGTTTCGTGGTGAGTGGTGGTGCGAGACGCGGTCAGGCCCTGGACTGAAGAGGACGACACAAACGGCCTTGTTGTTCGAGCCTTTCGAAAAGGCTTTCTTGTTCGAGGTCAGATTTGTTTGGGTGCGTTTCAATTTTGTGAGCTCAAACCGATAGTATTCTGCCAGAACTGGTGCTCCACGGAAAATAGCTTTCGATGGACGATTGTGTCGTCGCTTGTGGAAGGCCTTGGTCGGAAGAAGCATGAACACCAAAGGGCCTCCACCGAAGCAGAAAGGAATTTGCTGCTGTACATTATTACGGTAGCGTCCGTACCGATACATGACCTTCCAACAAAGGTTTTTGGCCCGTTCGTGGCACGCGAGGAAATGATGTCACCCTTTGAGGCCTTTCTTATTTGTCGGAAAACTACGAAATCGACGAGTCGGATTGGAACAGAGATGACGGTACTACCGTAGGGCCTTTTCAACCGTTGCGTGTGTGCAAAAGAAGAGCCTTGTGTTGGAATGGCCTTTGGTCGGATGAGTCAAAAATCATTTGTCGTCGAAACAGGAGTTGTAATTGTTAGATATGTTAGATCTCAGTACGAATCGTACGGTATCGTACGCGTCGTATTCCAACGAAACTGTGCATAACCTAGTATGTACGGTACTACTGCACTGCTCCACGCTACAAACACACGCACATACACGCGCGCGCAAAAAATGAGACGATACATACCGTAGCAGATGGTTCACCCTTCGAACAAGCCAAGGCAAGGGTGTTGCCTGTCGACGAGTGCCAGCGGTCTCACAGCAGTACGTACAAAGATACGACACACTCCGAAGAAATTAATCAATCAAGCAACGCACGGACAGCTCTATGCCAGCCAGGGACAGGATGCTTCAAGTAGATTAGTACCTCGGTCTTCCACAGGTTCATTCCACACCAATGTTGTGGCAAGAAAACTATCGAACGAAAGTTAATGAATGAACACCCGGCGACCATTCCGGACGCCAGGCGTCGTGCCGCGCCACCATATCCTCGGAGTGAATACTCTGTGGATGGAATTGCTTGGGGAGTCGAATCGAGCCAGCAACTCGGTACCGGGGTCAAATGCAAAGCTCCTCGATTTCTCGGAGTAATATCCGTTGAAGCCATGGGCTCGAGGACAAGAGAAGGCATCGATCCAGAGGGAAAAAACATGCAAAAAAGTTTAAAGGCTTAAGCATCGGATGCGGGTCCCGCATCCTATCGCGCGGGAGCAATGGTCCGACTCCACGATACTTGTGGAGTTGTTGGCAGGTATAGATAGCTAGGGGCACACCGACGGGCTGAACTGTGATTGCTAGCACCAGAATTGAAGTTTCGGGCTTTCTTGATCTCTGGATCTTATACCCGGCATCGCGACAACTCCTTCCCGATGTATGGCGCAGGGGGTGCAAGCGATCGCTCTGCGGAGGATCACTTTTTTTCAGTGCAAGTCTCCCCGGGGCAGGGTTTCGAAAAAGGCATCTCCTACTTTTTCCATCTTTTTCCATCCACTCCCCTGAAGACACTCCTACGACGCAATGGGTCTATTCTTTGTAATTTTTTTCTCACCAATTCCAAAGCGACTCCCAAAGGCGGGCCGCGCTAGTTCTTTCCTCTTGACATTGCCTATGCTTGTGATTCTTGGCAAGCTAGAGAATGAAATTGCTCACAAAAGGAAAGGCTTGCCTCGACCAAGGACTAACCGACCATTCTCAGACGGCACGGACCCTCGATACCGGTGTAACGAAGCTTAGTTCTTTGGGTCGTGGTTGATAATCTATCGTCATGGCAGAAAACGAGGCAACGAGAGAGGACTATGCGAGACTCCCTCCGGTAGCTGCCGATGTTGGCATTGAAACGAACTCCCAAAGCAACAGACTGGGTGTAGCCGGGGTGGACACAACGGCTGTGGCTCCTGCTCCTGCTACTAGTGCGGTGGACCAAACCGTTGCAGCTTTCCAGTCAGAACCTCGAGCCACCGGTGAGAAGAATGATTCGATTGCGGATGTAGATGCGGATGCGGATGCGAAGCCAACAACAATAACGCAGCGACGTGCTTCAGCAGGGCACCGCAAAACCGAGAACGATCAGTCGCTAGATCCAACGCAGAGCACGAGCCACAAGGCCAAAACCGAAGCCACCAACAAACGCAGCAGTGTTGGAGAAGTTACCGAAACCCCTACGGCAACAAAGAAGAAAAAAGTCGGGGATCTCTCTGTGTCGCCGGATTGGCATCGAAAGGGAGATCGTACCGTTCATCCCTCTCCCGTCTATATAGCGACAGGTGTAAGTAGAGAGATGTGCTGGATCCATATGTCGTGAATGGATTCCATGTTGCGTGCAATACCTCACGCACGGCATCCGTTTGTTTTCAATTTCTGGCGTTTCTCTATGTCTCTCACAGTGGCCTCAGCGAAGCCCCATAGACGCCGCACCGCCACCGTCCCAGGGCGGTGTGTTACATCGCTGCGAGGCAGAATCGAATGGCTCGATCCACGCATCGTCATCAACGTTGTCCACCTCGCGTGAACACGGACACGACGATGTCGCCCACGCACTTTTTACAGAATCCTTCGACACGATCAGTGCGTGCGGAAGCGCCATGGCCGTTCGGGAGCAACAACTGAACGCGGAAGGGATTTTGTCGCCGAGGCAGAAGATCCACAGTCCTCCCCGGGACGGAACCGAAGGGATTCTCCCTTCTCCAAGAAAGAAATCCAGGCGTGATCGGTATCCGAGCAACGGCGAATTAACTGGCAGTGGGGATAATGATGCAAATGGTGCCGCTAGATATGGCGAGTATCATCTCTTGTCGGCAACCAATCACAAAGCGGGTTCTTCCGGCCTGGAGCACCAACCCCATGGAGATCAACAATATCAAGAACATTCTTCTCCACACAGTCCGCCACAACGGGTGGTTCACGTAGACGGGGAGGATCATGGCTGCGAGGATATTTCACCAATCAAATTTTCTCCCCCCACCGATTCCTCTCCTTCAAATCTCTCGAATCACCGCGGCCACTACACGCAGCCCAGCGTGGATCATCGACAGCGCTATAGGGGTGGCTTTCCGGCTGGCAGCGATGTCCGGCTGAGCGAAGACCGGGAGTTTCCCTACGAAACTTCGTCTCCACCTGATGGTCACGACGAGCAGCACGCGGCGGAGATTTCCTTTGATACCTCCGCCGCCGCTGGCAACAGTGGTTACCACCACCAGACTATTAGGAATAGCGGCGACGAGGGGAGAAGGCAATACTCGCTACCGGTTTCCCACTCTCCTTCACATCGTGGAACGGGCGAATCACGTGCTGTCCAAGAAGTTGAAGAAGAGGTCGACCATGAAAACGGAAAGAACACTAGTACCCATGAAGCCTCGATAGGAGGGCAGCACTACGATTCCAACAGGGAACGGTATTATCACGACAAACGCTCATTCTATTCTACAGCTCCCCCTCTACCTCGTGGTCTTCCTAGTCCAGATCTACGTGATCCAAGGCATTACTATCACAACCATAAATCCAAGTTTTACCCAGGGGAAGATGTTCGGCCTCCTCTTAGTGGTGACGGTGCTAGATATGCTGATAAGGAAGTCACCAAGGGACGTAACGATTCAAGTAAAAACGTTCTTGACAGACCTAGTAGAATGGTACAGTCGTCACCTATTCAATCGGGAAGGCCCCGCTACCCGAACTGGCCGCAACAGGAGCTTCATTATGCTCCCTATGGTGCCCCAGCCAACACGATACTCCCGCCTCCACATCCTCCCTTTGTTGGTACGCCGTGGACAATTCGTCCACCAAATTCCAAACAACGAGAACCCAACCCACCGCGTGACCACATGGCAGCGGACACCTTCTATCGAAATCGGCACCATCAAGTGGACCAGTACCCACCCCTTCCACCTTATAGTCAGGGCGAGACAAAGAGACCTTCTGGAGCTCCTTTTACACAAAGCACAAAATTAAAAGCTGATGCTGCTCCTCCGCCGAGCGATAATCACAAAATATATCAACAGCATTCGCCGTTTCCTCCTCCAACTTATTCGCCTTATCACAACCATCGGCACGACCTGGCATACGTTGGAAAAGATCCTTTTACGATACTTCGCTGTATTCGTACAATATTTCAGGGGTGCTCCTATCTGCTGTACCCTGTCCACGTGGGTATCAATTGGAGCGGTGAGCAACAAGTACGTGACTTCTTGTGCTTGTTACTCTTCACAGTGTTTGTGTCGTTTTCGATCCATTTGCTTTTTTCTCAACAATTCTTTTGGGTTCATATATTCAGGCAATTCATACGGATCCAGACGATCTGAAAATTGCTCGACGCCGGATCGAATCTGCAATTTGTGCATTGGGTGGATACATCAAGGATGTACGGGAAGGACAGTATTCGTGCAATGGAACTTCCTCGCATGATACAAATGGGTATTCTTCCAAATCCAGTCGCTCGCCAACCATATCTTCCCACATATTTCGTCGCACGGACGGAAACCAGCACATTGGTTCCATTACAGGCACATCATCGTCAAGCAGCTCCGATCATTATAGAGATCGATTTCATAGCCGATACTTCATTGGCAATCACGGAGTATCTTGGGAGGTAGAAGAAAATCCCCCCGTTTGTATTTCTATAGACGACGACGAAGATAATGTTATCAGTCGCAATGGAAATAACGACAAGACTGACAACTCAAGTGGCACTGTTGGAAATCCTAGTCGTAGTGGAATGGGAAATCGCCACGTACCGCCTCTATTTAATCCAAAATCACCCTCGCTGGACACCAAACGCCAAACTTCGGGACTGACACCAGTTGATCATAGCCAAAAGATGAAGTATCGGTGCAAACTTTGTGGACAGCCAAAGCAAAATCATGTATGCCCCTATCGGAAGTCACTGGTTAGAACTATCGGAGTTATGGTTTGCCCTGCCGTAAATGCATACACAACATCAGAGCCAGGAGTTTTGACGCCAGCTCTCACTGAAATGAACAACGTGGTTCCATATGCCAGACCACATTCTCGTGATGACAACAGTGATATAGGTACAGAATCATCATCACGTGACCATTCGTCTCACGGCTATCGCTCAACACCAGGTGGACAACAGAAAACCAGCGGTCGGTATCATTACTCGCCAACCACGTCAAGCTTGTCCACCTCCCCACACAGCAATAACCAACAATCGTCCTACCTGGAACGACATCATCATGCCAACCTTTGGCAAGAAGAAAAACGCCCCATTCAGCAGTCGGCGACGATGCCTCTTGTCCTTCGTGCGGAACACTACCGTGTCGTCACCCCTCGAAGTCCGTGTCAAAACACTGATCCGAACAGAATGGACGAACGTGATGACAAGGAGGAAGATTCTTTCGACTACCCCCATGTACCTCTTACTTATGCGGGTCGGAAACGCCTCACGGATACCCTCTTTTATCTTTCACAAAGAGTTCCCTCCGTCATGACGGACGTTGCCTCGTTGCTGCGTTTGGCTCGAGAAAGAGATGAATGGGATCTAGCCGTTGCCGAAGTTCTTACCCAAATCATTGTCTGCATCCATTGCTCAGATGGAGACTTTCAACTCAGTGGACTATGCAAATATCTTTTGAAGATTGGTACTGCTTCGTAAATATATATATTTGTATCAGGGAGCAGACGTGTTTTTACTATTGACAGAATCGACTTGCGTAACGGGAACCGAGTCTTCCAGGTCTGAGTTGCTAGGCCACAGATATGAGAAACAAGGCAATCTACTCGAATCAGTTGATACCTTCGATCATCCGCTGGAAAATTTAAAGCTGAAGATAAAATAATTTGGATTATTGGAATTCAAATTAACCATCGATTCTATATTACTGTAAAGGATAATCCTTTTTCTTTTGATTTCTATTTATTGGAGTACATTATTAGTAAGACATGAGCACAAGCCAAAAACTGACTATTGGGCTCTTCGAGGACAAGTTGGTGCACTATCACACTTCCTCACAACAAAGTCGCGCGACTGACAGTCGTCCCATCGGGATTCCCGGAGAATGCTTCTTTCTTCGTCTTTGCGAGAAGAATCTACGCTTTCATCGTCCGAGACGGATGCTAATGAGGGCGGAGACAATGGCGAACGTGATCTGGTGAAGGGTGTGGGAGATGAAACACTAACCGTAGATTGCAATTCTTCTCTTTCATCAATTCCAACAATGCTGATGGCATCCATTACGAAATCCAGGCTTCTGGTCTTATTGTGATGGCTCTTCCTGACTTTTTGGCTATTGCCCTCATCGAAGGACGAGGAGAAAAGAGAGCAGGGCAAAGACATTGAGAACTTGTCTTCGAGGTATGGAAATTCCGTTATCGTGTCCAAGGATAAATCCCTGCTGGAGTGTGGTAGGTAAGGCATATTGGTGCACTTGAACGGGGAGCTGCCGCTGCACCGAAGTGGTCTCTTGTAGCTCTTTCTATCCGTTTTGTTTGAAACCGAGTCAGTTTTTGTGCTGTCATCGGTATGGACGATGGATTGATCTGATATTCTAGTTTGATTAGCAATAGCCATGTTTTCGTTCTGGGGTGTCATTAGACGTCTTTTCTAAGTCTCCGACTTCTTTTTGTGTCTTTTCCAATTTTTGTTGTACAAGGGTGTGTGGTTTTCTGTCGATATAATTGTTGCGCGATCCGTGGGTTACGTGACCTTCAAACCTACGATGTCAACCGCTGCACTCGGATGCAAGAGATGACTGGTGGTTTCTGTTTCTACGAGATCTTCCTGCTGAAACTTTGGTACAAAAGTATTACAAATCTCAAATCTCATGAACATTATTTGGTACCGTAAATGTGGCCTTGAACTTCCGTAGCATATTGCTGACTTTGTGGAGAGGTGTCAACCCTAAAAACAAAATTTCAGACATCAAGGAACCAATAGAATAAAAGTGAAAATGACAACAATGCGCCGGCACAGTTTCAGATAAAATACTGTAGTCATAATCCATGGCTCTGGACTGGAAACGGTACCGAGAGTTTCTTCGTTCGTGCTTTAATAAATATCGAACAATTAACCCTTCAAACTATACATTTAACAAAATCAAGAATATCGATTGATACTTTAAGATGGAAGATTGATCAATAAAAATATCGTCATATTCTATCGAAATGGCTTCCGTCTTCATGAAGAATAAATGCGAATTATTATTCTTGCAATCTTGCATGACATCACTCTCCAAATAAATACCATTGATAATTATCTGTCGGTTTTATCACCAGCGTCAAGCAGGACTGGATTCTAGGCACACATCGTGTTGCCATTTTACAGAAGAATAAGAGCGAAAATAATCATGCGGACAGAGGGATACAGTAATTGTCAACCGGTCTTGTGGTTGGAAGCGATTGGGGGACTCTTTCAACCAAATAATGTCAATACAACACCATCAGGTTCGAGAACACTTCCGTATTATTTCGAACTGTACGATACCAATCCCCCATAGTTCCGACTCGAGGGCTGTATAAAAACAACTTATGCACCAGTGGAACTGACGTTGAATGTTATCAAAACGGTATTGAATGACATGCCCAAGTGGTCCTGTGGATCAAATGGTAATATGATCTTATTTGCTACCCGGGTGACGGATCCTACTCTGAAGATGGCAAAACGTTAGGGCGCGTCATTATCGATAGGCATAAAATAACACCTCAGACAGAAAGTGTCAAGGACCATCAGCTTGTCCTCATTTATTCTTCTCATTACAGAAAATTGCTATGCAAGCAACTAATGATATCTGCTCTTGTCCAAATCTAGCTGAATCACTTCTTCTTCATGGTGGTGCTACTAGTACTACTAGTACAGCAATACTTAATGAAGTTCGCACGACGACATAGTACTACTACTACTACTAGTAGTAGTAGTAGTAGTAGTAGTAGTAGTAGTAGTAGTAGTAGTAGTAGTAGTAGCAGTAGCAGTACTAGTAGTAAAATACACCAATGGTTGGAAAACAGTAATACTAGTTGTACTAGTACTACTACTAGTAGTGCTACGTCACACAAACCGGATCTATGGTACTGCGCGTTTCACGCGGTTGACACCATCGAAGTTTCAGGGTCAACCCTTAGTCTTT